AGAAAAGAAACAAAATAACTGAAAAAAAAAAAACTGGTGTTGCTAATCTAAACACGGGGGAAAAGAGAATCTTAAGAACATTGGCTGAAGACCCAAAAACAATGAAACTACCAACCATTTCAGAACATTTCACAAAATAACAGTAATAGTTACTCCTTTTTTTTTTTTTTTTTTTCTTGATTGATTTCACCCCAAACAAGATAGTAAAGCCAGTAAGACACAAGGGCTTAGTGGGTGTGGAAGAATTATGAACAAAAGCAATAATAGAACAAAAACAGTAATCATGAGGAGAGTAGATAGCAATTGACATTGCATTTAAATTTTTGCAGGTTAAAGTTAGCTGGAAAGTATGGAGCTGAAAGGGAAGTTCCTCAAGTGAGAAGTGCAAGAAAAGAAACTGTTAGTTTAGAATTTACAGTTACATCTAGTCAACTCAACTGTAAATTGGTGATATCTTGATGCCAGTCTGGTACTTCAAATTAAATTTCAAGAGTCTAGGTACCGTAGCGAAGAACTCATCCAAAGAATTACCATGAACGTACTTATAGAAAAGACACAGAGAGTCAACCTTACAGTGATGGGAAAGTGACTGAAGCCAAACTGCCAGATCAGGATCAATAATATTGCAGATTCTTCTTTGTATTTTATCAAGGAGCTCAAGGTAAATAGCAGGGGCACCGAACCATGTGTGGCAGCAATATTCTAAGCATGGACAAATGGTAGACTTATAGTTATGTATGTTAGATTCAGGAGAGAAAAATTGTCTTGCATGACATAGTAAACCAGCTTTCTTAGCAGCTGACCTAGAAATGGATTCAATATAGTCTTTCCACTTCATGTCAGCTGAGAACATTAGCCTGAGATGGTGCAATGAGTCACTTTCCTGGAGGTTAGCATTAGCCGTGCTGATGGAAGGCAGAGAGGGATCTCTCAAATGATTAATGGAGAGAAGTTTAGGTTTTTATATGTTAAAATTAACACTCCTCTTAACAACAGACTAGAGTTCTTTTTGGATATTGGCTGCCATTTTGACCTTGTCAGGCTGATCAGCCCTACTATCAAAATAGGAGTAAATGCTTACTTATAAGGAAATATTCAGAATTCATTGACCAAGTAATGGATGCTACCTTCATTTGAAATTCATAAGATCTTTCTATTAAAACAATTTTTCAGGAAAATAGGTTTCTCAAGTTCAGTAGCTGCTATTGCTCTTTCAAGTATTGATGGAGGTTTCTGCCCTAACTTTTTGTTTGAAGTAGTGTAGAACATCAACAAATTGATTATGACATTATTTTCTCTTTGAGTTACATGTGCTATCTATTTTAGTTGTTACTGCTGTTGAAAGTCCTCAAGTGATATGGTTTCTATTATTTGGTATATGTCTTTGTTTGTGATTCTATAGGACCAGTTAATGAGGTTTGAAAAATATTATCCTTGTTAATTTTGTCCCTTTTAACCCATGACCTGAGAAATATGTTAATGTCTAAGTTGGGCAGAGGAGTAGAGGAAAATATTCTAAACAGTAATTTTTAGTGATGAGTATAAAGTTACATCAGATGGACTGATAGATGGACTAATGGTTGTATTCTTCATGGAAATAGTCATGCAACACAATGAGAACATGAAGCTGTCAGTGATGTGCAAAGGTTTGCTGATGTTTGATGATGCCCTGGGCCAACCCCTCCCTTGATTGTATGCCCCTAAGATTCAAGTGACAAGGCTTATAGGGCTTCATACTGAGAAATGAGAGAAAGGAAGATATTTCAACTATGTAAAAACAAATGAAATATGAACACTTTATTTAAATTAAATATAAAATAAATTTTTATTTCACTTTTTGATTGGATGCCCTCCTGATATGGATACCCAGGGCTATTGCACACTCTGCCCCACCTTCTGCATGCTACTGTGGAGTAATGTTTTAGGATAGCAGGCAGTAAACTTATAGGGCCCTTCAAAATTGTTGTCGAGAGTAGCACAATAAATGCAGAGAATTACTGTAAGTCTTTGGACAAGATGTTTTTGAGTGGTACATGTTCAAGAAACTTAAAGCTGAAGAATGTGCTCACTGGCCACTCATGTCCAAGTATATCTGTCTAACCAATCCCTGTTGCAGACGCCTGCTCAGTCACATTTGTGCTTTTTTCCACACCCACTGCTGAGAAGACCTTAGTTACAGTTTCTGAAAGAGAGTTCATTTTCTGGTGTGATCAACATTTTCAACAAGGCTGGTACCCTCAAACACTCGGTCACAATGACTTGTAACTTCATGCTAACACAACCATCAATGTCTCCCAAATAGTTCCAGCTACCCAATTTTATTCACAAGGCTTGGGTCAAACAGTGGTACGCTTTTCAGTAACTTTTCAAAGGTGACGCACACTGAGATAACCTCCCCCAGGCTGATAACATCAAGAAGTCCCCTCCCTGACAAACTGACCATGGTGAGGTTTGAACTGAGGTCTCATTGTCAAAAAATGAACACTCTAACCATATTCATACAAGACAACGTTCTTTCATATTCTGCAAAGTTAACTATTGCCCATCTTGTCAAAAAACGTTTTAAAAATGTTGCTATTGTGTAGTAATTCTGCTCCAGATAATTTATTACTTAATAACAATAGAAAAGAGATCCTCCACTTTATGTCCAGTAGAAACTTCCATTTGATGGAAATTTGTTTTAAAATTTTCACATCACTGGTTGATTAATACAAATTTTATTGTGAAAGCATTGACTTGCTTAATAAAATCTGACCTTATATTTACTACTTTATATTTATTACTTTATAAAAATAGAAAACCAATCCCCCACTTTACATCCAGTAGAAACGTATATTGAATGTAAATATATCTTGAGAATATTCCCAAGATAGGTGGTTTAATATCAATTTTATTGGGAAAACATATACTTGCATCATAAAATCGGACATAGTCTAAAGACAAGCTATTAAAAATTAATAAGAGAGATGCTTTAGCTAACAACACAAATTTACTGATACAAATATGTTATAATGAGAGTGTAGGGAATCAAATTTTCAGTGAAAAACAAAGGATTTTTATATTCAGTTTTTCTTTATATGAGCTTGTGGGAGGTAACGCAACAACTCAACTGATGATAGCAGGTAGGAACAAAGAAACCGGTGTTGCACGTCCAACCTTCTCACGAGCCGAAAGCTCTCTGATCCCAGACAGCAAAACGAGCCTGCTTTATACAGCTGATGACCAACCACGATTTGCATGCGAATGACGAGACAACGAGATTTCGCGTTAACTAACCGAGACCGCCCGGCATAAAATATGGGCACCACCATTTTGGTTCCTTTTACCGTTGGGAGGACTGGAGTTTGCACACTGCACAGATGCGCACGCGTTTCTGAAGTAAGCCATTTTCACAATTTTCCCCACAGAGCTATTAGAGGAAGTGATGATTATTGGTATAATATTAAATGATTATTAATATTATTACAGGCATTGACATAAAGTTTAACGTCATTGGCAGTATTTTCTTGATGATGTAGGTGAACTGTGGCATCGGTAATGGTGTCAGCAGTGATATATTTTACATATGTCATAGGCAAAATAAATTCTACTGAAAAGGATTTGAAAATTTGCATAGTTAAAGCCTGAGCCACCTTGAATAAAATGGATGTAATCTGGAAATCTGATCTACTAGACAAACCGAAATGAAGATTCTTTCAACCCACTATAGAAGTGGTGTTAATGTATAGTGCTACTGCTTGGACATTAAATAAAACCCTAGAATCTAAACTACACTCAGATGCTCTGAGCTTATACTTAACATCTCTTGGAGACAAGATCCAACTAAATTACAGCTCTATGGACCTATCTCTGATATTTCTAAAATCTTACACAAACAAGAATTTGAAAGTGATCTATTGCGCCAAACACCTAACCATAGAGTAAATGGGTAGGTTGACCAGCAACCACCTACATTGACCAGAATGCCACCCTAAAGAGCTCAGACATTGAAACAGGACTGTGATGGTTGGTGTGATGGACTTATGAATGTAGAGCTAGCTCGACCAAATAAATAATATATAAAATATATTATTATTATTATTACCATAAGATAATTCTGAAAAGTTTTCAGCCCAATCAAGAAGGACTTAAAAAAAGATTCTGATTTTTGGTCATTTGTAAAATTTTGAGATTTTCAAACTTTTTGTCTTTTTGCTTTTATTATGTAAAGCTTCTATTTTTAATCATTTCACCCCAAGCAAGGCAATAAAGCCACTAGGACACATGGGGGTCATCGAGTGTTAGAGAATATGAAAAAAAAACACTATTAAGGAGAGAGGAAAAAAAAACATTAAGAAGACAGAGAAGATAATGATTAATATTGCATTTCAATTTTTGAAGGTCAAATTTGACTGGAAAGCAAGAACCCGGAAGAGAGTTCCACAAGAAAGAAGTGCAACAAAAGAAACTGTTAGCATAGAACTTACGGTTACATCTAGTCATTTCAACTGTAAATTGATGAGACCTTACCGACAATCAAGTACTGTCTTAAATTCATAAAGTCTAGACACCATAGCAAAGAACTCATCAGTTACCATGAAAGAATTTATAGAAAAGGTGGAGGGAAGCTAGGTTATGGTAGTAGAAAAGGGACTGAGGTCAAGATGCCAGGTCAGGACTAGCAATATTGCATATTCTTCTTTGAATTTTATCAATAATCTCTAAATATATAGCAGGAGCACCAGACCAGATCTTGCAGCAATAATCATAACAAGGATGAATGCTAGACTTATAAATATATAAGATAGATTCTAGTGAGAAAAATTGTCTCACATGACATAGTGAACCAAATTTTTTGCTAGAGTCTTAGCTCTTTTTTGTTTTTTGTTAATTTATATTTAACAATAATTTGAATATTTTCATAAGATTGAAATCAATCATTTGATTTAATGATTAAGTCAGTGCAAATATTTATAATTTGGTAATTAACTGGATATTAATTATTGATAAATCATTCATTAATGTTATTTGGTGAAAGACATTTGAACTCTTTTATCTCTTACTGTCTTTGCATCTCTCTGCTTCTTTCTTTTTTAGCGTTTTTTTTTTCACTTTATTTTCGTTTTCTTTATTTTTTCTTTCTTCTTTTTTTTCTCTTTTTCTTCCCTCCTAATCTGTTTGTAGCTTATTGACACTTTTTCTCTCTCCAACTTTCACAACTACAAAATCCTCCTCACCAACTCAACTGTTTTTCACTTTCCACCACATTGTTCATTTTCTTTTTATTTCTTCACCTTTTTTTAACAGTTTAGTTAAATTTTCTCTCTTTTATTCCACTTCATTCTCGATTCTCTCATTTTTGGTCTCGATTTACAAAAACTTTTATCTCACTCTTTCACATGCTTCTATTCAATTTCTTCACTCCATTCTTTCATGTTCACTTGTTTTTATCTATCTATCTATCTATCTCTCTATCTATCTATCTATCTATATCAGTTCATTATCTATTTCAACATGTTCACTATCTATGTATCCATCTATCTCAACATTTTTACTATCTCTCTATCTATCTCAACATGTTTACTATCTAAACATGTCATCTATCTATCTCAACATTTTTACTATCTCTTTATCTATCTATCTATCTATCTCAACATGTTTACTATCTCAAAATGCTAACTATCTGTCTATCTAAACATGTCATCTATCTATCTATATATCTCAACATGTTCACCTCTGTCTATCTATTTCAACTTGTTCACTCTCTATCTATCTATCTCAGCATGTTCACTCTCTATCTGTCTATCTATCTCAATACATTTATTATCTATCTATGCTAGCTATTTCTCTCTCTCTCTCTCTCTCTCTCTTTGTTATGTGTCTTCTTTTTACATTTGTATACATCTCTTTCTCATTCTCTATCTCTCAAATTTTACATTTTATAAATCTGTCTTTTTTTCTGTTGTCCTGGGTATGACAATAAACTACAACCAGCAGCAAGGCTTCTGATCAGGAGATTGGCAGTTTTGAAGAGCATGAAACCACCTCTTAATTGCTGTTGTTCCCAGGTCCACCCTAACCCGGGGTAGTAGCACCTGTTAATGTCTCACCTATAAGCAAGTAGTGAAACCACAAACAAAAAACAATGGTACATTTTTATAATAAAATGACCAACAATACTTTTGTTATAGCAAAATGACAATCAATACAACACTAAAAAAATACAAAAATACATTTTTATAGTAAAATTACCTACAATACATTTTATGATCTACAAAATATATATCTAAAACATACATTTACTCTGAAAGTTTAAAATTATGTACAAAATATCTGTAGTTGGTAGTATAAAATTATATACAAAATGTTTAGATTTCAGCCTTAACATATAGAGGTTTATATGATGCCAAAGAAAATCAAACAACCTATCAACATGAAAGAATTCTTTCATGACATTAGTCCATATAATATTCTACAATTTCTTAAAGAACTCAAACTATATTTCAAAATATAACTTCAACAAAACTACAACATAAAACACACATATCACCACCTCTAGTAATCATGTCCATACAAATGTGTATATGAACAAAAGCTGAGTATTATCTACCATGTATTCAACTGTGAAAGTAGAATAACATATATCTTTATTACTTCAAAACTCCCAAGAAAATTAAATTTTGGCATTAAATGACCCATAAAGAGTTGATATGCCATTAAATGAACAAAACAATCAGTCAATGGATTTTTCTTTCTATCTATGTATCTACTAGTTATGTTTCTATTTTTAGCATCTATATAATACTAAAAGTCCATAATTGCATGCATGTTTGCATGCTTGTGTGGTGTGTCTGTCCAGTGCATAATGATTTATGAGATGTTTATACAGTATTTTTATTTTAACTTCATTCATACAATTTTTTTAATTAAAATATTTTTAAGTTAAAGACAGACACAAAGAGATCCCGCTTTGCTGTTTCGTCCAGTTGTTTGTAGAGTAATTATTTATATTTCAGTTTTCTTTAAACAAACAATATTTTAGATATTTAAAAAATATTTTTGGCATATTTAAAAAATTAAAATTGAAAGTTTATCCCAGAAGTTCTCTTACTATCGGGTTCATGCATAATTATCAGGCGTTTTTTAAGCAATATTTATTATGAAAAAAGAAACATATAACAATTCAACGATAACATTTTTAAATGATTATTTCAGAGCATATGATTATCAACACATATTTTTATGACCTGAAAATAAAATAATATTTTCATTAAAAAAGTAAACAAAACAGCAATTTTTATTAAGAAAGAACTTGCCTACAAAAACGCCTGATAATTATGCACCAACCTAATATTAAATTCTGTAAACAATCAGTAAAACCTTAAACATGAACTTGTAAACCAGACCAATGTTGACATTAATGAATTGAAATATTTAACTGAATCATAATAAAATTAACTTTAATTTCAATGAAATGTTGTAATCAATTTCATTGTTTTATAAGCTGAACTGTCAGTGACCCAACAGGTCACGGGTAGTCTTGCTTTATGTAAATCTGTTTCTCCCTTTCTTTTTGTCTCTCTCTATGTCTATCATCAAGGCTACTTTTAGAATTTTCTTTTTCTTTCTTTCTTTTCAGCGATCTCAGTATCAGTTATCTTGTTACTTTAACCATTTATCTCTCTCTCTCTCTCTCTCTATATATATATATATATATATATATATATATATATATATATATATATATATATATATATATATATGTATATATATATATATATATATGTGTATATATATATATATATATTACTTTCTTTAACACCTACCTGCTAGTCTTCTCTTGCTAATGTTTTAATCTTTCTATTGCTTCTCTTCAAGCCTTTTCTATTTTTTCTTGATATTCTCTATCTCTCTATTTTTATTATGACCATTTTCTACTCTTCTTTTTCTTGTCCTTTCTCTGTATTTCTCCCCAGATCCCCCTCTCTCTCTCTCTCTCTCTCTCTCTATCTCTCTACCTTTAACCCACCTTTTCTTTCTATACATCACACTTTTACTTTTTGTTTCTTCTTTTATACTTTTCTCTCCAGTTCTCTATGGAACATTCTTTCATCCCCGCCCCCACACATTCTTTTTTTTTTTCCCCCTCTCTTTTTCTCTCAGCATTTTTTTTCTAACTTTCCAAATCACAGCCATTCTCTCTCTCTCTCTCTCTCTCTCTCTCTCTCTCTCTCCCTCTCTCTCTCTCTCTCTCACTTTTTCTCTGATATTGCATTCTTTTTCCTCCTATTCTCAAACTAAGGTTTCAAAGCCCTTAATGAGTTTGAACTTTAAAATCGGATTAAAAAAAGACTGAAAACATCTCCAGCACATTTTGTTTGCTTTGAATACCTCAAAATTTCTTGCCTTTTTCTATGGAACTAGTTTCTACTCTGCACAACTCCACAGTAAAATTATTGGATATTTCTGTTTAATTTATTTGCATTCTTTATCTTTGGTTTATGGCTCATCTCGTAACAATGTTCATTCAAGAATCAAATCATAAAGCTTCAAATCACAGTATTGTGGAGTAAATAGTACACCACTAGAATCTATATGAACTAGTCCATAACTATAAATACAGAGCTTCAAATCAGGGGATAAAAGAAAAACCGTTTGGAATCAGTCTTCAGAATTTAGAACTCTTATGACTTATAAAAGTAACAAGGATTCAGAAACTCATATGTTGTAACTGAAGTTACAAGGATTTTGGAAACTAATACTGAGTGAACAAACTCAGAAAAAAACTACTTGTTGCTTTGAGAACAAGGATACAGGTGACAACAAGAATTTTAACCACATTGGTTTAAAAAAAAATTTTTTGTCATGTAGAAGAAAAAAATTCTTTCTCTTGAGTGTAGGAAAAAAACATTCTTGTGAATATGCAAGAAATTTTGGCTTTGATAGTTGAAATTCAACAACAACAGAAACAGAAGCAACAACAAAATCAACAGTTGCTGGAACTGCAAAAACAGCAACAGGAGTTGTTGGATATAATTCTGAAGAAAACAAAAAATTTTCAACATCTCTTATGCCAAAACACCATATCAGAATTTGTAAACAATCCTGGTGATGGACTGACTTTTTCTGCATATTTTCATAGATATAAAGAAATATTCACTCAGGAATGCAGTGGCTGGGAAGATGAGAGAAAATGAGGTTATTGTTGAGGAAAATAGCTCTGACAGAGTATAAAAATACTGCATCTTCATATTACAAAAAAAGAAACTGGTGAAATTGGGTTTCAAGACATGACACACATTCTGACAAAGATCTTTATTGACAAGAGCCCTTTGTTTAATACTCATTGGAGATGCATGTATCTAACCATAAAAAGAGGATGAACATTCATGGTATCCTCAACAAAGAATGTGAAAAGTTTAGATTACTCCAAATATGTTCAAAGAGTTACTTTTCACTCAAGGCTTAACAACTAAAATGTCTGAAACATGATGCTGAAGAAATTCAGAAAAAAGAATGTGCATTGTACCATCAAAGGAAAAATGTACAAAAAGGAGAATAAATCCTTGTTTCAGATGTAGTAAATTACATCTTGGAAATGAATCTTCATTTAAAAATGCAGAATGTTACAAGTGTGGTAAAAAGTGACATATAAAGTCATACTACAAAACCAAACCAAGAAAAAATTCTCACAGGAAGAAATTCATACATAGCGTTGCAATGGAAAAATGGTCACAGAAAACAAAAGGAAATTTGTGAATGTGAAAATAAATAATGTGGGTGTGAAAATGCTACTGGACACTGGAAATGATATTACAATAATCAGTGAAACCTTATGAAAAGAAATTGGAAAACCTTTATTAAAAAGGACTTCCAAAGTCACAATTTCACTTTCTGGTGAGAAATTATTTATTTTGGATAAATGCCTTTTAATGTCTCATTCTGTCATGAACATGTAATAACTAAAGCTTATATATTAAAAAATACTACAAATTTATTCAGTACTGACTGGATGGAACTTTTTGAACATTGGGATTTGCCAATAAATGTTTATTATAAAAACATATGTAGACAAGTGACCAATTTAAATAGAGGGAAAATGTTAAGGAAGAATTAAAAAATTGTTTTCCAGATGTTCTATCAAATGAACTGGGCCAGTCTTCTAAATTCAAGATAAATTTTCAACTAAAAAAATAGAGTGTACCATTCACAGCATTGGAACAAGTCAATGAAGAGTTGAACAGACTGAAAAGAATTGGTGTAATAGAAAAAATTAACTATTCAAAATAGACTGCATCAGCAGTGCGTCTAAAGAAAAAAATAATAAAATTTATGTTTGTGTGGATTTCTTGACAAGATTAAACAGTTGTTTAGAAACACATAATTAAACGTCAGAAGAATAATTTCCACGTTAGATTTCACTGATACATATTTACAAATTCAGATTGAAAATGAATGTTCAGAATTAACAACCATAAATATTCTCAGAGGATTATATAAATTTTACTGACTTCCTTTTGCTATAAAAGTGGCATCAACTATTTTTCAACAAGCTATGGATACAATGCTTGCTGATTGCAATTTTGCAATGGCGTATCTGGATAACATGTTAATCAAAGGTGTATCTAAAGAACATGTTGAGCATGGGAAAACAATTTTGGAAAAACAAAAAGAGTATGTATTCAAGCTCTGTGAAAAAAATGCAAATTGTTTTTGCTGAAAATTAAATACCTTGGTGAAAGTGTTGATAATAGGGGTCATCAATCAGATCTGTCAAGGGCAAGTGCAATTAAAAATATGCATAAACCAACAAACGTGACTTGTTACAATCTTTCTAAGACTGGCTAATTACTATCAAATATATGTACATATGCATAATTGCATAGATCCACTGAATGATCTACTTAAAAAGAAATAAAGTGAAACTGGAATGATAACCGTCAAAAGGTGGTTGACAAAATAAAAAAAATGGACTTACATCAGATTTATCATTAGCACACTACAAACCAAAAGTAAAAATTGTAGTGGCATCAGATGTTAATGAATATGGTATTGGAGCAGTGATTTTACACAAATATGATGGTGGTAAAATGAAAGCCTTATGCTTCCCACTTACTTCTACCAGCAGAGAAAAATTAGAGCCTGATAGAAAAAGAGGCTCTAGCAATTATATTTGCTACAAAGAAATTTCATAAATTTATTCATTGAATAAATTTTAGGTTGCAAACAGACCACAGCACACTATTAACAATATATGGTTTGTTGAGGGAGTGTAGGTCAAGTGTTTAGTTGGAAGCATGTACCTCCTGGTATATTTATCCCACAACAAAAATGGCATGCTCGGTATGCGAGTCATGGTAATAAAATAAAAAATTAATAACAAAATTATATATATAAACAAACAATAAGTATTAACAAAGGAAAGGTATACATAAACAATAGAATATTGCTGTGTGTTACAAAACAATGAACATGAATGAAACTAATATTTAAATTAGTGAAATAAGTGTAACTTGCATGTGTGATAGATATATGTGTATATATGCATGTGTGAGAGAGAGTTCAAAAATTAACAAAAGACCAAGGGAAATGAAAAGGCCTCATGAGGCAGAATTCTTATCTATGTGTGAACTACATCTTACCACCCCTGGGGGAAATAAAAAAAGAAAGGATGACTGAGAATGTCACTGCCTATTTATAGGCTTAGACAGTGTCCTCTAGCAATTTTTTTTTTTTTTTTTTAGGAAACTAAGTGGGATAACTTGACAGGTTCAAAGTGTGGTTTACTGGCAAAGGTGTAGGTATCCAAAAGTGGATATTGCCATTATGGTGGTCATAGCTTCATCCACACCCCTCCTTAACTACCATCATTCACAGAATCAGTGAGGCTCTTGACAACAAACACACCTTGAGGACCATAGCATGAGATATATCAAAGGCCTTCAACAAGGTGTGGCATAAAAGTCTAGTACACAAGCTCTCCAGTTATGGAATCACTGGAAGGATCTTCTCAATCATAAAATCTTTCCTAACAGGTATGTCTCTAAAGGTAGTTATTAATGGCCAGTCCTCTGGTGCCCTAGCAGTCAATGTAGGCATCCCATAGGGATCACTCCTTGTACCAACCCACTTTTTGATCTATATAAATGATCTGCCTAAGAATATACTCAGATCATTTATAAACATCTATGCTGATGATATGACTATATACAGGTGTGCCTCTGAATCTCTCGATAGACAGAGATTGGTGACTGATCTCTCTTCTGATCATGTACAAACTACACAATGGGGTAAAAATTAGCTGATTACACCCAATGCATTGAAGACCAAGCTAGTTACAGTCGATCATTGTCAATCTTGACCCCAAACTATCACCAATCAAAATGAACGGAGTTCCTCTTGGGGAACCAATGTGCCTTGAAAGACTTTTAGGTTTCAAGCTCTCACCTCACCTTAAATGGAACTCGTACACATATGTTCCATTGTTAAAGATGCAGGTAAAATGATCAGCTTCCTGTACCACTCCAGTAAGTATCTAACTTCTCCTACTATCCTCTACCTTTACAAGAGCCAGATCAGGCTAAAAATGGAGCACTGTTTTCATATCTAGGCATGAGCTACGACGTCTTCACTCTCCAGCCTTGATAGAATTCAAAAATATCTCTGAACCATTGTGGGTGATGAATTATTCTCCACCCTTCAATTCCTCTCCTACAGGCAAGATGTAGCAAGTTTCTCACTGCCCAACTATGAAAAGTGCTCAAACAAACTATATTATCTGGTCTCTCCAAGACAAACCTTCACATAGTAGCAAACCACCAATATTCCCTCCATATTCCATTGATGTGAAATAAGTGGCTTCTTCCCATGAACTACTGCCCTGTGGAACCAACACTCAACAGGATAATTCCTCAATCACCACAGTCTTAACCTATTCAAGGATAGGGTTAATCGTTATCTCTCTCACTTATACACACAAAAGACCTCCTAATGTAACCCTCTACCTTGAGTGCCCTCAGGCCTTGTAAAGATGGACTCTCACTGTAAAAACAAAATATGGCAAATAAATTACAATGGTTGGGTACCATCTTATTAAACCATGATTTTATGATAGCATACCAATTATCTAAAAAATTAGGACATGTGGATGGATTATCAAGATTAACACCTAAAAATGCAGAACCATTTGAGGACACGGTCAATGCAGCACTGAAAAGCAAAATTGAAATAAAAAAAAACATTTTGTGCAACATAGTGCAAGAGTTACCATGGAAGAAAAAAGTGGAAAATGACATCTTTAT